TATATGCTTTCTTATGTACAAACGGCGCCTGTCATCTTCCAGATTTGTTCCGTGTTTTTCAGGTGCTTAAAAAGAACTCATGGGAAATCTTCATTTACCATACTGCTGTAAATAATACACCTCTGCAAAACACATTTTAATCAACTAAATCAGTATGCATAAAACACATGTAGGCATCTTATGCACTTCTTAATGAACAGAATCAACAAACTGAATATCGCTAACGAGCAGCACAGACTTAGGTAGCGGTCGAGGTTGAGGACTCAGCACAGTAAGAGTGCCTCGTTCGAGATCGACGTTGGTTACGCATACAAATCCTGCAACGTTACTTAGGATTGTATCCTCATCAGCCGATACGGCAAAAGACACTGAAAGAATATGGTGCAGAAGGCTTGCCGGATTCTGAACCTCGACAAGTTTTGTCCTATTATCATCAACTTTCATTCCTGCAAAACCAAGAGAAAAAAAATCGCCACTAAGGATGTATTTGCACAAAAATCTGAATTCAGTTTGTATAGTATTGTACAAACTTACCAAGCGGCATACACGAATCCGGCAGAGCGGGAGCCCCGATTTTGAATACTTTAATGTCAGAAAATTTTACGTCAAAGGAGTGCGGGTAGAGTGTTGTCTTCAAACCGTAGAAGTACTGTTTAACAGCAGCTTCCCTAGCTTCCAGGCGATTTCGTTTTGTCCTCTCAACAACACCACCTGACTTTGGCGTAAGCACTACACTAATGAATTTTGGAAGATCCCGAACTAGCTCATTGTACAACCGCTCTTGATCCATAACAAGGACGACATCTACTTCGAATGCCACGGCTGCGTGTAGCAGGGCCTTGTAGCCTCCTTGCTTTACCTGAAAGACGAAGTATTTTAAACTTGTTAGTTTCCAGCCTTCAACACTTTACTTTTTGCTAGATTAAAATAAATGTTATCGCTATTCCACTAAAATTAGTCATCCTTCCTTACGTTGTAAAATCGAAATGAATATAGCTACTTCGCTGAGCGTACATGTTCTGAAAATTAAAACTAATACTTGCCCATCCACACGTGTTTATGATTGTTCCGGTTTGTGCGACTTTTTTATTAACATCGGCGCGTTTTTGAAGTACTTCTGCTAGCCGCGTAATCAGTGTGTTGTAGAGTTCAATGTTCTGTCCGGGTGAAATATGGCCAAAATGGAACACTAGTGGCCCCTGCTGACTGAACCCTTCCTCAATATCTGAAGGGCGCTCTACAAGAATGGCACCTACCGTGCCTGGAATCGAGATCTGCCCTTGGCCAACGTCCAATTCTACAAACATTGGTCTCTTGCCCTGACGAACGGCATAGTTGAGCAACAGTTTACACAAAGTCGACTTGCCTACATCAGTTGGCCCAACCATCATTACTGTTGGACCTTTGGTCCCTTTAATCTCCGCTTTCTGTCGCATTTGTTCAAGAACCGCATGAATATTAGCGTACACCACCATTGGCGTCTCTTTAGACACGTAAGCCACTTCCGTTATGCCGATGATACGCAAAGTGCAGCCGTACCATGTGAACACGGCGACCTTGCAGCCTAGAATCCAAAAAAATCACCAGTCGAGAAACATAATGAAATAGATTTCACCACACACAATAGAATCTGTTTCAGAAATACGTTCTTAATGTTCATTTAAGCATTAACATTGAACTTACCACAAAAGTCAATTCGATCGTATCTAAAATCTTTTTACAGCATTCACATTCTAGCCTGAACGACTCTTCATATGTGAATTAGAATAATATACATTTGTTTTGACATTTTATGTAAATCGTTTATCTACTAAACACTTCTGCAACAAATTGATTAAAACCTGCGCTTAATTATAGAAACAATAACTTTTTAAGAATACGTTATTTTATCGAGGCACTGTAAGAATAGACATACGAAAATTGGTAAGTTTAGTTTGGAAACCCATGTAACCTCTTACTATATAATTACCATAACTTCCCGTATAACTGATTCAATTGCGGTTACTTACCTGGAGAAAAAATGTACTGCTTATCTTTAACTATTTCCGCTCCAAAAATCTCCGCACTGCCTTCGACCAGTTCAAGCTTAACTTTATGTGGCGGTTCCACCTCGAAACGTAATTCATTTTCCTTATCGAGTTTGTAATCTTGTTTCGGCTCAACGTCGACAGCCATTTCGCTATAAGCGTATCACCCTACCAAAAAAAATGATTATGATTCAATAATGTATATCATTTGTCATACATACGCAAGAAATACGTGTCAATTACTCATTCGTTCAGCTCATTCGTGTCATAATAATGCGCAGTTTCAATGACGATGGCTGCGTAATCACTAGAGGCTCCAAGTTTATTGCTACGAAGCTGACACTGACGAACTGACGACGAGATTTCCGTTTTAATACGGAAAAAGTTGATATATTACATAGTTGTTGAAATCAGCTGACTGCTAAAAATCCTTAAGTAGTTTACAAAACGCCAAGTAACGGTCACAGATATTTGCGTTTCTCTTGCTATTACACATATTTTACCAATGCAGAGGTTAAAGGCTCATTTATAATCGAGGTAATCCCTACATCCCACAATATAGTTTAAACACACTTCACGCAACACACGTTGAGTGAATTTATTGATGCAAAATAATTTTTACACTGAACAACTTTTTACACTGATGAAATACCGAACAATGCTGGTAGCCGCTGACAAACACTTGTGTAGCGTGATCTTCACACATGTATAACGCGATTTAAGTTTCTGCTAGGATCATTTTGCTCTATAGAACAAGGAGAACCCTTTTCTGAGGAAAATAAGTTTGAACTGTTAGCTTTATCCTCCATAAACACTTTCTTAAAGGCAATTTTTAGCAACCCAAAAAAATATCAGCATTATTCGACTGCTTTAAGTTGTTTTAGATCCGACAAACACCGACAAAGACGGACAGTATATAAAAATAAATTTACTAATCTATCTACTTCTATTTGATTTTGAACAGCGCATAAAATGACTCACTTGATAAATTTGTCAAGTCGAAGTTAATTTTCACTAGTGTTTGACGTAGTGTTTAAATCACTCCAATTTTTCTTCGCACTTTTTTAGAAATGTTAGAAATCAACTGTAACACTGTAACGGGCAGAATTGAAACGCGTCGCCAGAATTACCCTTTGTATGATCTCGCACACACCGATTGAGATGCGATAACGCGCCACCTATGCAGCTGTGAATACGCAGTTGCATTTTGGTGCTTAACGCCATCTGTTCGAAACATCGAGCAGACGATGCTTTGCTTTTTGCCGGTTGAAAAGGATGAATGGATGTATTATTCAGCGGTTCATATAAGAATTCTCATATTCGACGAGATAGCACGAGACTTCGAATGGGGCTAGATTGCGACGGTGTTGTGGTGCAGATTGCCAAAACTAGGTCATTGCTTATATAACTTTTTGGCAGCATCTTGTACCAAAAACAAGTTTGGTATAAACGATCAATACTCGATTAGTCGGTTGAGGTTGGTTTTGTCAAACATAAAAGTGCTATTTGTAAGTGCTGGTCGAAAGTATTATTATTATTGTTGTTGTTTTTTCAATAGACGAAGTTGAATATTGCAGCTGCCTGACCAAACTCAGCTGTAGCGCTATACATCATTTGTCATACAAAGCGAATTCCAGTTGTTTCCTTACTTATATGCGTAAATGCAGCGCGCTTATACTCGAATAAACGCATTGTGAAATAATGCGCAAATCTATGGTATAAGACCCTATTACCGTTTTTACCATTATTTTGCTTTATTTTCACCATTATTTTATTTATATCATTACTCCAGCTAACGCAATTTGTATTATATATAGATCATATCTCCACAAAGCTTAATTGCACAAAAATAATGTTAATTTTTCCTATAATATTGTCGTCTGTGGTATATCTTTGGATTGTTCAAAACCTAGAACCGCTCAAATATCAACAACGGAACACCGGTGACTGGACCGATTTGAGTTTTCTGTAGGGGGCCGTGTCTGGGCCTTTGTGGATTAGCAGCAGAGTGAGTGGTCGAGTAGTGAAGTACGACTTGACAGAAACAGCAAGCCTCCGTTATTGAAGCCTACGGTCGGTCTATCAAGACCCGCCGCGGAAGTTCATCCAACCTCTGTGCACAGGTAGTCGCTTAAATAAACTGTACGTATATTGCACAAACGCCTAGTAAAGATGGTATCTAATGCTATATAAACAGAATAAGAAGCTAAAGTGAAAAACAAGCTGAGGACCAAGTACTACCGCCTATTCCTGTATGGTGCTCAACATATGTATGTCATATTAGCTTTTCTGTTAGGCAGTTCATTGTGATGTTGTTGGCTTAATTAAAGAAACGGTTTTTTTTTTGAGATTTTGCGTTCATTGTATGGAGTTTCTGAATGGACGAGCTGTTCAATGGGTATTCAATGTGCAACCTAATATGACACGTCTCTTATGAATGAAAACCGTTTATGAAAAAGTGCGTTTCTGTGTTCCTTGTTAATGGAACAGATCGAGCAGGCTCGGAGTCTCGTGGGTTCTTTGTTGGCCGTTTGCAGGCCAACCTAAAGGTGCTGAAAAATGTAATGAATCGGCAGTCGGAAAGGATATGCTGATTTGCGAGCGAATAGAAATCGTACAGCTGTTGCGGGCCATTCTATGAGGTCATCTTTCGTATATTGATACATCGGCGCTGCTAAAGCTGAAACTAAACTGGTTATATATATAAACTCAACAGTATATGTGATTCATCTACACCAATAAGAGATTTCTAGTACCAAGTGAATTGGCTACTGCCATATAGTCTGCAGTACCCAAATGAACCCTTTAATAGTGACATCTGCTCTATGTGACGCATCTGCCCTTAACCTCTTTAAAAAGTATTCGTTTTAAATGCTGGTACATGTTATAGATGGGGCTTAACGTGAAAAACCATGTACCAGAGTGTGTATTTGGTTTGTGTTGGTGCATTGTACATAATGCACAAACCAAAACAAGATATGTAACCCTGTGATGCGTACAGCAGATCTTTAATGGTGGTAAATTTAGTGGATTTCATTGCACTTAAAAAATGACGACTATAGTCTAACTGCCGTAGCAAATGTCTAGATATAAGGTGCGGTGTTCATAAGCGACATTTACACAATGGGTGCTTGAAAAACCAACAAAATGTTGGCCACACTAAGTCGTATAGCTCAAAACTGTGCTTTTAGTATTTGGTTCACAACAGAACATGTTATTTTAGTATACAATCGAACAAAATACGTGCTCAGTTTAAACGTGAAATGAGAAGCACGACAATAATGATGTAGTACTGTAATTACTGTTCTATAGCATTACTTCCGCTTGTGGATGCCATGTATTTATTATTTTCTGAATTTTTTGCAGTGAGCAGCAATGTCCGAGTCTAAACAAGTCGCAGTGTGTATTTTGCAATACCTGAAAAATGAATTAACGAATCCTTCCATTTCTGATGAAAGTAAAGAAAGTTTAGAAGGTGAGTTCGAGCTACCACAATTACATTAGGTGCTTATTTGGAAACTACGGTTATGCGAGTTGCTAGTAATTTTGAATAAGTGATCATACTACCGAATTAAGCTGCGCTATACTTCTACAAAATCTTGGATATTTAACGCGGCAAGGAATAAAGCACAAAATTTGATTTTAGTTTGTTGCGTCATAGTAAACTTGTTTCTTATATAACTGTAATTTAGATCACATATTGTTCTTTAGCAGTGATGTATGATAAATACGTATATGATATAACAATATTCACCGTAGCATTATTTTTTCTATTTCAGTGGCGATCCAATGTCTGGAGAGCGTCTACGAGGTGGGCCCAGATGATCTCTCGGCTTTAGCCGTGAAGATGAGCCTTCGAGAGATGTTTAAGAGCTGCGTAGGGAACGAGCAGGTGAGTAAGGAGTCACCAAATGTAGAAATTTGTCAATATGAATGTTTTTAATTGGTATTAAGAGAAGGTGTAACTTTTTCGTCATTTTCGACTGGGAAAAGGATTAACTTAAGGTTCAAAAGATGAGATAATCAGTAGAAAATAATGGACACGACAATACGTGGTTTCTCTTGTTGATATTATAATCAAATTAACGCGCTAACTCTATTTACTCTGCTAGTTAATTGGGATTCTGTTATTGCAGTATATGGAATGTAAAGGTTTAAACAGAATTATTTACCTAGCCATGGGTCTCTCTATAGGCGTACTTTAAGCCAGCCCAGTCCAGCGCTGCAAGTCGGTCGGCGTCAGCCCCTCCGAAAAAAGAGCCACCAAATCCTGAGGCTGAGGCGGCAAAGTTACAGGGTAACGAACTGCTAAAAGCCGAAAAGTATCAAGAGGCCCTCGAGATGTACACGAAGGCTATCGATCTGGATCCCAACAACGCCGTATATTTCTGCAACCGTGCCGCCGCTTTCAGCAAACTTGACAAAAGCTTGGAGGCCATCGAAGACTGTGAAGCTGCTCTTCAAATTGGTAGATTTCAAAATTGCTTGGGTGTTCAGCAACTAAGCACGGGTTGTTAAGTAAACGTTCAGTAGTCTGCACAGTTAATTGTCGTTTAGAACTTTTTAAGGTATTATATGAGAACAAGTCTGTACTCATTGGCTGTACTACATTTTAAAACAATCTGAATATCAGAAACGGCTAACAATTGATGAACGAGATAATATATTTACTTTGTAAAAAAATCATTTTTTATAACACCTAGTAATAACCAACTGTGTGTTTGACCAGACCCAACATACTCAAAGGCGTACGGCCGAATGGGTATTGCCTACGCTAACATGGGTGATCATGAGAAAGCCTACAACTGTTACCAGAAGGCGCTTCTACTGGATCCCAACAACGAGAGCTACAAAAATAATTTGCGAGTGGCCATGGAACAAATGAATGTAAGTTGCGACGAACAGAAATGTATACAGGAGGAAGAGGATACTATTTGAGGCATGAAAATAACTGTGAAAAGCACAATTTTGGCTTACCTTGGTGTTGCATGTTCATCAGATCGAGTATATGTAAAATTTATGGCCTCATATCGACCCACGCACCGGAACATCATCATATTGAGCATCTGTAGTATAGCATATCAAGGCTCTAATCTGAAAATATCGTGCCGTTTTACGTACGCTCGAAATTTCAGTCGCAGGGCACCGCTCCACCTGCAGATGAACCAAGCAGTGGACCCGGTCCGAGCGCAGCAGGCGGTGCTTTTTCCGGCCTCGGTGGCCTTGGGGCTAGTGGTATGCCCGATATCTCTCAGCTGCTAGGCAATCCGACTCTGATGACCATGGCCACCCAACTCATGCAAGACCCTAACATGCAGAATTTGATGAGCAACATTATGTCCGGCACGTTAAACGCTGGTGCCCAAGCAAATACTCCCCAGCCGCCCACGTCAGGAGGACCAGCGGGCCAAGGCCAAAATTCTAACACTAGTGGAGGAGCCGGTACTGAATTTAACCTTGATAGCCTCCTTCGAGTGTAAGTAAAAATATCACTGTTGATGCAACGCGTTGTAAGCTGCGATCAAATTCAGCATGCTCATGCGCGATTTATCGTTTTATTTTATTTTTACTAGAGGTTTTCTTTCTAGTAGAAATGAAGTTAGATCTTACAATGGCCATCTGAGTATTTTTAAACAGGTTTCGCAGGGAATATTTTCAAAAATTCCAGCCGACGATTCAAATGGTACCACAGGATTGTCTAGGTCGCATAACTAAGTTACAATTTTTTAAGCAGAGGAAGGATTATTCCTAACGGAATATGGAATGTGCTGAATAGGACATCGACGCAGTACTCTTAGGCATTCCGGGGACTGCTTTTGCCATATATTATCCGGTCAGACGATGAAAACTGACTAGCTTATACATGTACCTATAAGCACTCTAGTTTGATATGTGCTTGACACCACAACAATAAATGCCTATTACTTGTATCGCTAAGAGGATTTTTAACATTTTAGCACGCTTAGTTTTTATTGATTACCATTTTTTTGGCAGCACTGCGAGCACCCAAAAGGAGCCCGAAAGCCTTTGGTAGGGCAAATCTCGGAGGTTACTATTGCACTAAGGAAGTGCACATTCGAAAGCCACCTGAATGTAGATTTTTAAAAGCATGTTGTTCGAAAAATATACCAGGTATTTGTGTGTCCTCCTAAGTATGCTAACCTCGTTATCTATACCGTCATATTGGTAAACATCCGTTTCGATGCTAAGTTTAAAAATTTCTTCAATTTATACTTACTTAATTGACACTTAGTGAAACAATTTTGTCAGTGTGCTTGACACCGGGATTGAATAAACACGAATTTACTTTCTCAAAAGTCAAACAGTAAAACCGAAGGGACGCGGACTTGCACCATTAGCATTCGCGATGACCTAGCAGTGAGAGTGCAGTGGTTTTTAGAGTTGTCCACGACTGGCCGTGGAAAAAACTCAAAATGCAAGAAGTACAGAGCCAATTTCCGCTGCATACTTCACTTTCTAAATAGATGGAGAATATTCTAAGGGGACGCAGCAAACTCGCCCAAACGCAACGATCGTCGCGTCGATACTGCGAAGTGGTAATTGCAGTATTTAATGCGTTCGATTTACGTGCTCGAGAATCTTAAGTCAATTCAATTAGAATACTGCCAAGAATAAGTGCAAGTATTTACTCGGAGGTCATGATTTTATTAAGCTATTATTAATGATGACGAACTGTGCGTGTGTGTTCAGTGGATGATAAGTAAAATAACTGACAAGAGAATAATGGTTCGATATCAAGTTATGTATCAAAGTGGAAAAGCCAAAGTAGTTAGAAAGAAAAGATTGCGTCAAAAAAAATATTGTGTGCTTCTAAAATGTTGTCACTTCCTACGAAGAATGTTTTCCCAGGCTTGTTCGGAATGAATATTTAGCGTAAGCTAAACAATGCGGGATATTGCGGTTGGAATATATACACACACATAGTCAAAAGTGCAATAACTCATAATAACAAAGGTTTAATGTGCACTAAAGATTATCTAGTGCACAGGACAATTTACATTTAAAAAGTTAAAAACATGACAACTATCATTTTGTCGGTTTGACTCTCAGAATCAGTTGGATTTTTTCTGTCCTTGGCGAGTCATATGAACCGTATGGCTTGCCATACCGACTCAAATAACGGGTTGCCTAGGTTTCAACGTTCCAATATCACACTACGCGGAGTCAGTAATACGCTGTACTTCTGATTGAGTTCATCACGCGAGTCGTTTAATGACTTTGCTGAGGAAATGTGCCATGTATAGATCAGAAACGGCATCCCGTTCTGCAATGAGATGATTGAGCTATCGAAGTACGATGCTATTAGTTATCAACAAACTGATAGAAAGTGACTGTGCGTTTTTTAACAACGGGCAGGCTCAGAAAGGTACCACCGGCTTGAAAAGGTTTAGACAATGAATTACTGATATTCGTCAAAAGCTACAGGTTGACAGGTTTGTAGGCGTGTAATGCAAAATTGCTGAAGTAAAGGTAACACCGGAGGAGTTGGAACTATACAGATTTCTTTTCATCTCTGCTGGTTTTAGAGCTAAGTCGGTCATACATGTCTATAGCAATTTGGCCTACTATGGGTGGGTTCTATAACCATAATGAAGAGGTCGCTGGTTCAAATTTTAGCGTTAGAAAATGGTTACAATGCTGCATAGATCTGTGGAAGAAAAACCCAGATAAATCTAGCCAACAACCGATAGAAAGAAACCTGACATGTAGTACCTCACATTGAAACACTCCGCTTCATTGGTTTTAATGAGGGACTTAAAAGGACCCCGTTGTGTTTTAAGCCCTTTCCTGGATGACCCCTATTCTAATATTTTACAGTTTAGATTCGGAATAATTTAATATGCAATGATTAGAAGCTAAAAATCAGCCGCGCGTTAAAGAGCTGCACTTTATCGATCGTTCGGGGGCAAACAACATATCCAATAGTTTTTTGTAATAGACTAGTTAAGTAGCAGATAACGCACACGCCCCGTATATATAAAGACAAATGTGTAGATATTAATAATATCTAATAATAAGTAATAATAATAATAAGTACTTAACAATGCGATTTTCAAGTAGGCATTTTCTGTTAATGACGGCTTCACATGAGTGATCAAGATTCCTTCTTCTTCAGTTGTATCCTAATTGCAGTTTCTTTGTTCACGCGTCATCTTGCAGGGGTCAGCAATTTGCGGCTCAAATGCAAATGAACAACGCGCCATTAATCGATCAACTGCGTCGAGAGATGGAGGCGCGAGGGATAAACATCCCAGGCCGGGATAATCCCCCCAACAACCAACCCCCCCCACAGTAACCCATAAGAATCCAAGTCAAAGGCCATGCGTCCTATGCAGATGCAAGTACGCGACACCGCGAACGGGTACAAAGGAAACCGAACGGAAGCCAAGAAGGACATCAATTTAGAGATCAAATCTTTACTTACTGCTGAAAAAACACTATTCTTAGATTCGGCTGCGCAGTCCCAGCCTGATCTCTGTCGACTAAAGACTTCGGTCCGTTCCAGACACAACGTTATTGCTGTACCTACGCAACTGATCCGTCATTTTCTACATATAAGGGGCTGTAGCTTACGGCAAAAAGAATAGAACGAGGACACGGGAACGGGCGTATGTCGGTGATCCGATGGAACAAAAAGTGTTGGGTAGCGAGGTACGGTGGAACAAGCGTGAAGAAGAGCAGAAAGAACATGCAGAGTTAATGTCATTGAAGGGTTCGGAGGATGACACGAATCTATTGGAACGGGGGGGGTGAATCGTGCGGATTTCTAAAGGGGTATTGGTAAATTAAGTTCTATGCAGTAGCGATGTAATGCGGCGCAGAACAGATGGGGATAACAAATTATTTTAACGATAGCAATTAAAAAAGGGTAAGTGCGACGTTGTGGTGGAGGCGCATGAAGCAGGACTCTGTTCGGGCTTCTTGCTCCTGGTACTCACAAGAGGATCAACGCAGCCTCGCGTAAACGAAGAGCAGAAGATGTAATGGAACACGGAAAGAAGACATAGTCAATTATAAATGACGATGACTTTCGCTTATTAAATATTTACAAAATCATCTTGCTGTCTTGTTTAGTTAAAAAAAAAAAGTCTGTCTCTTGATTGTATAGGTATTTGGAAAAAAAACTGTAGTTTCGCCGTACATTACACACTTTATTATACACTACTCCAGGGCATACCATATTATCGTTATGAATAAATTCACTGAATTATTTACAGCGTGACTAAGAAATGAATCTACTTGTCTTGAATAGACAGTCCAGCAAAATTCCTTCAAATCAATATTTATTATATTTCGGATTCATGTCAATATTGTAAATAAATGGGCTTTTGTAGAAAACCCAAGTTAACAAGCATCAGTAACAGTATCGGGTAGACTCATAGAGAAACCAACGTAGTACCGTCACTTTTAAGTAAGCACTATTCATTGTTTGAAAACGAATTAGGGTATATAATTTGCTTCGAACACATCATAAAAACTAGGGCAATGCCGATGATTTGAGGCAATTCTATCATAGACTTTCCTGAGCCTAATTGCACCTTTGGGATGTTCGTTCGATAGCAATTCCCAGAAAAAGTTACTAGTTTATGTGAAGGTTCACTTTAAAAAAGATAGCCATTTTTATTGATAGTGCTAGCTTTGATTCATAGTGCTGCAGGCACAACAACCCTATGAGATGGATGAAATTCTTTTTGTATGCACTCATGGATAGAATTAACCGAACCCTTTACGATCTTATTTAATGGTTGCGTTGCACTCTACATGTCCTTGGTGTTGTTAATATATATTGGTGTAATATGAATGTTAAAGTAATTCTTAGAAGTCATTATGATTACCATACAAATTTAATATGAGAGTATCGTTAACGTTCGAATTCTATGAACACTGTTATCAGTGTTTGAACACAATCTCCAAAGCCATCCACCCCACAAACTTTGATTAATTAGGCTTCGTTAGTTCCGTACGGGACTCAAAATAAGCGCCATAGTTTTTTTTCTTTTTTGTCGCATTAGCGCTTTTTGACAGTAACTTTTTATTCGCCAGGAATCGTTTTTAATTCAAGGTGATTTAAAAAATTACACGCTAGTGAGTCGATTTTTTGTTCTCGTTGAAATCATATTATGGCGATAGACCATAACCAAAATATGGCGCACTGTTTTTGAATATAAGGTTGTTTATGTTATGGTTTAAATTCTTTACAGTAAATGTACATATATGGTAAAACTAAAATATCGTGGAGGCTATTAAAAAGGTACTTGATCTGTAAAGGTTGCTTATTTAGGAATCGCATCATCTGTCCCATAGGAGATAAGACTGGCCAATGGTTATACACAAATAATGACCCCGCCAAAGCATTGGACTGGCCATTTTCCTGCTTCAGTCCGCCTCAGAAAACTATCTCAGGACTGTCTGGTGATAATAGGTTTAATCCTAAAAGTCCATGGAATAAGGTGTCGCAAGCTGCTCTTAATATGGATGAAGCCTCCGCTGCGCAACAAACGAATTGAATAAACCATTGGATGCGGTATCTTTAAATGTATAAGTTTTGCTATTAGAGGTAAATGTAAAACACAAAGACAATATAGGGGAGCATCGATGCTTTCTTTGAAAGCAACTGGTTTAGATTTTTTTGTCGGAACGAATGTAGAACCTTACGTGAACATAAAACCCGGATTTGTATATCAGTGTACAGATTGAGGTCTACCTTCTTATTTTGGTTTAGCGGACACCGTGCAGGCCCCCTGGTACTTCCTTGTAACTTATAAACACCCTATCGATTTTCCTTGGTTTGATACAGTATTTTGTAGTAACGCATATCCTTTGTCGTGTAAACATTTGCAATGTATAAGCCTGACATACTCTGTAAATTACTTATCTTTGTTGTAATGAAAAAGGTTATTTCATGATAAATACATCTTGTAGTTGTGTTTATTCGTCATCGCTTGCTCAGGCATGCAATACTTCAGTGTAATAACGATGCTCTTGCAAGATTATGGAAAAATACAATGCATTAAAGTACTTCCAACGAATTGCCAAATGAGGGTTACAATCTCTTGTATAGGATATATGTGCAATATAGGATAGTTAGTGTTAGAGTTGGCGATATTATTCATTGTACGACGATTTTAGCAGAACTTTGCCCATGTGCGTGTTTTAAGCCTGTATAGTACAGACATAAAGGATAAAATTTTAAGTAAGACGTTAACATACACATATTAATCGGTAATTATGTCTATTCTATACCTGCTATTATCCGAATGTAAAATCAAAGCTTTTTAACTAAATCTTTACCATAAATTTATTATTACTCCACAAAATGGCGAACATATAGTGACACAATATCCTCTCATTGTACGCACACCTCATCCGTCAGTGGTGTGTATAAACTATTAGCTTTAAAGGGAATAACATAATTGCATAGTCCGTCATAGTGTGCTCGAGATGTTGGATCCGATACTGCTGTTGGGGTGTAACTCACTGGTATTCAACAGGTGGAAAGCTGCCGTAGAGTACGGTTGCCATTGGTGACAATACTAAGATAACAGCGATCCCGGTTGTAGCAACAATTTAAGACGACAAGTAAACCGAAACGGTTCGAGCAGACCGGATGTATTTGGTTACTGTTACAAAGTTTGAATAGAAGCGAATCGGTTTGATGTCGGGAAGTTTATAATAAAATATATTAGCTTTATTCGACGCGTTACTTTGATAACAAAAAGATGTTGGTGGAAGCAATGGGTCGCCGACAAGAAATCAGCAAAAGGGATGATCTTTGCTAAGAAAAGGATGTCATTAATAAATATTTTAGAAATTATAGAAATTCTAAGCGAACTATGTTAAGATTGAAAGCACGTTTATATGCTTCAACATATAACTGTTTCTCTCTCTCTCTCTCTCTCTCTTTTTTTTTTCAGTTTTTCTCACTGACACTTCACGAAACATACCATCTACAAGCTGTGTAAACTAAAAGTAATGTATGACTCAGGGTATTTACTATTATTATTGCATTGTTATCATTGCAATATATCGTTGGCAAAATGTGCAAAAGTACTAATGTCATTTGCTGACTGTTAAATTTGTATTATTGATCAAACCTGCTTCCGGCTTCTTTGTTCTACACACGCCCAACTGGTGTTTTCCATTTTTTTTTGGTTGCTCATCTCGAAAGCTCGACCTGATCTATCAGGGACGCGCTCCAGCTTCTGCACGCGTAACTTGAACCAACGACATCGTCAGCGTAACGAGTACGTTGCGGTAGGTGCTATAACTTACCGAGTACCTGAGCTAGTAGCAGATAGGTGATCATTCGCTGTATTGGCGCTTGCATCGTATTGGCTCAACCAGTTGTTTGATTCATCGTTATGCCACATTCGACGGTTGTCGTTGTGGCTCGTACCACTGCTTTTTTGTTGTTACTGTTGTTTGTTTGCTGTTGATGCTGCCGTTAGCGTTTCCGCTATCGCCTTCGTCGCTCGGAAGCTGGAACGCTTCTAGGTAGCGTCGCGCTGTCTTTTCTCTCACCTTCCCTTTTATCTTCAGCGTTGACGACTTTGTTTATGGTGCTACTCGTGGCTAGCCATTATTTTTAACTTAAAGCTTTTTTACGAGTACCACCATTTCTTTTATTAATAACTAATATTAAATTACTGGTAATGTTTGAATAACGAGGTGTGCGAGAGTATGACGGAAGTTCGCGCGAAATCTTTGCGGCGCTTTCATAAACGAGCGGCAAGACTCAGCTCGATAGACAGATACGAGAATGTGGCAGTTGTAAGGCTAGATGCGACGACAACACTAGTTTTAAATGTTGATCTTTCTATTGGTTAATAATACTATTGGCGCTTCAAACAAATCTCCAGTTTGACTTTTACTCCTCCAGGTTCGCTTTTTATTGCTGCTGCGTGCTGGGTTTTATTGCGCGTGCTATCTGTCGAAACTTGCTGTTCTTGCTGCAGGTGCTGGTGAGGACGATGGGGTGACAATCTGTTGATAGAGCAGCTAAGGCTATTGCTGTTGCTACTATTTACTTGCAGTCTAAATTGTGTTTTGTGGGTGTTAAGTTTTTACCGTTACATTCGCGACTTTGCGTGAATTCATTAACAACTTTCGTATTATACTCGACGAAATGAACCTGCATCGTTCGAATGCTTAAACCTGCCACTGCCACTTTGCGGTTCACAGCGCAGCATCTCTCAGCTGAATTGGCTTCCTACGCAGTAACGCCGACGAGCCATACTGTCCATCGCTCGGCTCTGCAACTACTGTGTTATCGCCAAGCATAGCGTATGGATATTCTGAAGCGAAAAACTACAGCGAAGTTCTATTTTGTCATATACACACATGCAAATGCAAGCAGTGCTGCTGGGATTTATATGTTTATTTCATATTAGGTACTCAGGTCTTTCTTTAATACATGCTTAAAAGTTATGCACCAAAAACATTCCTACGCATTGCTTACAGAAAAACCTATATTTTTTTTATATGCAACAACTACCATGACCAATACATAAATCGGTAATACGGTCTCTGAAGACTGCCTCAACAGCCCTTTCAGTAGCAGCAAATGCTGTTGCTACTAACACCAGCCTTATTCACAACAGTGGTCTTTCACACCATGTTACGTGCAAAACACCCTCGAACAGAAAGGGACTAACAGCCATTGACCGGTAGCACCCGCCAACGCAGCGTTGCCGTCGTGTTCACTCTGCTACTGCCGCGCCGCCGTTGCTCTTTGTAATAACAAAACAATGCTAAAGGAAAAACAAAAACTTTATACGACAGCCGTTAGTTATCCATCCAACAAACTGTTGCTACTGATTTCACTGTGTCAGTAGCAGTATTAGAATTTTCGCCGAAGGGGAGGAGACGCGTCGGCACGGCTTTGTTGTTGTTTTCATCGAACTAGCTACGGAGGCTTTGGGCGACGGCTAGATGGACTCAGAACGAGGGCTTCTCGTCGACATCAGCCTATTTATACGGAGATGCTGTCGGCGCTCCATGATGATGGCGTTGACATCTGGCGTCGTGCCACTGCTGTGTGGTCAGCCCAACGTTTCCGCTGCCGGTAGAAAGCGTTCACACGCAAGCAAGTTACCGACCAACGAGTTTGACAGGCAGACGTCACTAACAAGCAGCAGTATCAACGATAACAACAATAACAAAAATGAACTAGCACCGTCGGCAACACAACTGCGATGCGAATCTAACGCATGTGTTCGAAATTGTTCGAAATAACAGTGGACATCGGACACACTGGTAGGGGGTTGGCGTTTTGTATTCGATGGTCACCTGCCTGCGCGACAAGCAAGTGGATTGCCTCAGGCAAAATACTCATGGTAAATAAAAACGGAAACATATTCCTCCGCTTCTATTAAGATGTTTGAATAACGCCGGTTTAACTACACGCATAGTTCTGTGGCGGTATGGCACAGTGCGGGTAGGCCCATTTCGCTCACAGCTCGATAATTGTAAAGCGTTAAAGTTTGCAAGTAGACGCTGTCAGTTACGAAGAGAAGTAAAATATCACATTCACAGTAGAAATCCATATTTTACAAATAGTTACTTCCTGTCCAGAAACGCAGTCTTTTGGAGGGCATCTAATTACTTACAGGATAACGAAGTAGCCAAAAATCGAGCGCTACCTACCAAATCCCTTAACCGTATGTAGCTCGCTGTTAGTTTTATAGATTAAACACAATACAGGTTCAGACGATCGCTCCAGACATAGGGGAAGCTAAACGAAAGAAGTTCGTTGAAAACACTGATAGTGTGGGCCGTCAGCATTGGATATAATTGACACTGCCCCATCGTTATGGGTAACTAAGAATGGTAACCAAACCCACGGCAAGCTAAGAGGCTATCTGAATTTGTTTGTTTGCAAGGACGAAGTGTGACTCAGTTCATTGTGGATGTCAGTGGCTATATTAGTCGGGTGAGTAATTGTTGTTTCCAATCAACCTGAGATCATGGTAGGCGAATTCACAATATAATGAGAAATGATGTACAAACTTATAGTAGATTCCGTCTCAAAGCCCTGCCAACGTGGCTCAGCTGTGAGAACAACAAACTCCACAGGTTCTTACTATTATAAAGATGGTGGCGCTCCGTGTTTGCCTCAGTGGTATAGAACAGCAGTCAATCAAAATATGTTTGAAATTAATCTAGTTATGCAACTAATTGTTAATATGTACAGTTGTGTTCAAATCGAACCGTTTGTGGATATGATTTAGATATTAATGCGGTTAGTTGGCTGTCCTAGTCCGCTGTACTCGTCATACACGTTTAGACTAGCTCAAGCTGGTTGGGTTCGATTGTGCTGGCAGTTAATGATGGTCGGGAGTTGTTGTGCTCAACGTGGTGCCTACTGGCCATGGATAATTACCAGCGGCGTCGCGGGTAGGATTCCGAGGAGTACAATTGGCAACCAAGAAGGTAGACTCAAAACTAGCAACAGATTTTTTGCCTACGCAAACGACTGGCAGGCCCTGCTAGCCGTCAGCTCATTATCCAGCAAGCAGCTCGGCCACGTTGCTGGGGTTTGCTGCTCCAGCCAACAGATGGCGCTGGGGTAACGGGGTGATTTTGAACTTTTCCTTAGCAATTTCTCCGTAGCCGACATAGTTCGATGGACTGGCAACCTCGCCAGAGTCTCCAGCAAGCGAAACGTTTTGGCTTGCAAACGAATTCATTAATTCTATTCTATCAAATTAGAGAATTACATTGGCTGTGTCGTCTGCTCAAGTGGGAGAGGGCGGAGACCGGTATAAAACGGACGCGCGCCATGTTGGAAGCCTTCACTCCGCCTCTCGTTCTCTTGGTGAACGTCAGTCTCACGTGTTAACGGCCAACATGGGCAAGGAAAAGACTCACATCAACATTGTGGTTATCGGTCACGTCGATTCCGGTAAGTTTTCTAACTTGCCTGCGGCCAAGGCTGGCTTTGGCAACCGTCAAACAGTTGTGTGTGCTACGCCATCTGCACGAAACGTGACGAAATTGACGTTACGGCGAGTTTTTTTCCGTGTTTTGTGCGTGTGACATTGGCTCCTGTATTTTGGGCGTTTGGCCGGCCATGGATTTCGACATCGGATCGACCACGCCGAGCCGGCACCCACGCCGTGACAGCTTTCAAGCCTATTATTCGTTCGTTAGTTGATTGAAAGTGGTGTCAAGCGTATTTGCGACGTGGTGTTTGTCCTATTGAGGTGTTAGCGGTGTTTGTGTTTTTCGATTTTTGTGGGAAATTGACTTATGATCATGCTAGGCCTAGTCCCCCACGTTGATATATGTCGCCGCTGGAGTACCCGACGGTGGCTGTGATAGTGGCATCGGCATGGCGTCGCGCCAGCTTAACCCTACAAGGCCATATGCGAAGGCCTTTAGTAGTTTTTTTCTAGTAAACCGCAACATTCCACTGATCAAAAACTGCTTTTAGTTACCGGTTGTTCCAATATCTTCGCTTATTCAAATCTGAGAACACCTTATTTTTCCGGTTGATTAGAGTTCAACCTCCGGTGTCACGCACACCTTAGTTATGCCACTTGTCGCTTTTGCGTTTTGTCTTGATTATAGGTAAATCCACGACCACCGGTCACCTGATCTACAAATGCGGTGGTATCGACAAGCGCACCATCGAGAAGTTCGAGAAGGAGGCCCAGGAGATGGGCAAAGGCTCTTTCAAGTATGCATGGGTGCTGGATAAGCTTAAAGCCGAGCGTGAGCGTGGTATCACTATTGATATCACTTTGTGGAAGTTCGAGACTCCAAAGTACTATGTTACCGTGATTGACGCTCCCGGACATCGTGATTTCATCAAGAACATGATCACTGGTACGTCGCAGGCTGACTGCGCCATTCTTGTCTGCCCTGCCGGTACCGGCGAGTTCGAGGCTGGTATCTCGAAAAACGGCCAGACTCGGGAGCACGCTCTGCTTGCGTACACTCTTGGTGTAAAGCAGATGATTGTTGGTGTCAACAAGATGGATACCTCTGAGCCCCCTTACTCGGAGGCCCGTTTCGAGGAAATCAAAAAAGAAGTGTCGTCTTACATCAAAAAAATCGGTTACAACCCCGCCACCGTGCCGTTCGTGCCCATCTCCGGCTGGGCTGGAGATAACATGCTTGAGCCCTCTTCAAACATGCCGTGGTACAAGGGATGGCAGATTGAGCGTAAGGGATCGAAGTTCGAGGGTAAGACCCTGCTTCAGGCTCTCGATGTCATGGAGCCACCAACTAGACCCACTGACAAACCTCTCCGTCTTCCCCTGCAGGACGTCTATAAAATTGGTGGTATCGGCACAGTGCCTGTCGGTCGTGTTGAGACCGGTATCATCAAGCCCGGCATGGTGGTTACTTTCGCGCCATCTAACCTGACGACTGAGGTTAAATCGGTCGAAATGCACCACGAGGCTCTCTCCGAAGCCGGACCCGGAGACAACGTTGGTTTCAACGTAAAGAACGTCTCTGTTAAGGAACTGAAGCGTGGCTTCGTTTGCGGTGATTCAAAGGACCATCCCCCTAAGGAAACCGGACAGTTTGAAGCTCAGGTCATCGTGCTTAATCACCCAGGCCAAATCCAGAACGGTTATTCGCCCGTGCTGGATTGCCACACCGCCCACATTGCCTGCCGATTCAAGGAGATCAAGGAGAAATGCGATCGTCGTTCTGGCAAGAAACTCGAGGACATGCCCAAGTTTATCAAGTCGGGTGATGCCGCCATCGTCGACCTCGAGCCCCAGAAGCCAATGTGCGTCGAGGCCTTCACAGAGTTTCCTCCCCTCGGTCGCTTTGCTGTACGTGACATGAGGCAAACCGTTGCTGTAGGTGTTATTAAGTCTGTCAAGGTGAAGGAAGTTTCTGGTGGGAAGGTGACAAAGGCCGCTGAGAAGGCCGCCAAGAAAAAGTAAATGAATCCTGCCTCAACCAACTAGAAAATCCCATTGAGGCCAGGGTACCCCATACGCCATCTAGGGATGGCATCCCCATCCTTTGGGTGCTATCTTTTCGGCCGATCAATGGAAGGCTGGAGTATTTAATTTGTTGTAAAAACAATAAATTTTTGTAAGAACATTAATGCTTTTTCTGTTAATGATAGTAGGAGTTCGAAAACTTAGAAAAGTAGAAATAGTCGTCATAAATACTGTCTCATTAAAAAGTGGTATGGCAGAAGTAGCGCTTTTCGTGGTCGACGGAAGTGTAAGGTTTGTCTTGGCGATGACCAACAAAAAACAATGTGACGCATGGTGCTCAGTTCGTAACCCTTACGCTTGAGAGTCGCTTATCTGAGTGGTAATCTGTTAAAAATTTTTAATTCCGATGAAAGACGTGGAATTCTGTTGGCATTACAATAACATCGCCTGAGCGAATGTACGGTAAATTTTAAGTATATTCTGCAGGCGTTCGTAGCGTTTTAAACTAATGTCCATTATCCGAAATAGCTCAACTATCATGCAATGATGGGATTCTGCATGAGTTAATAGCCACCCTGCATCTTATTTCTCGTTTGTGAGCGTTTATATCTAGAGAGGTCTCCTAGGCCACATAACACGGCCATGACTCGTATCATTCTCGTAGAATATCTACCTGTCCGATTCTTCATATCAGGCCAGTGTGTTTTCTCCCGTTGCATAAACATAAATCATTGTTGTGTGGAAACGCAGGCGTTCAGCTCCGTCTGTCGCCTGCGCTGCTGTCGCTTCATCAATAGTTTGATTACCGTAGGCTGAATCAGTAGCTACATAGCGGACAAGCAATGTCGATAGCTAACCGATTGGAAGTCGGCAGTCGACCGCTGCTGAATCATTTTCTCCATCATGGTTAGTCATTGGACAGGCAATATGGACCACCATACAGTTCCTCCAGTACTAGCAGCAGCCCATTGAAAGGCTGTGACATAACACGCAGCGAAAAATGGCGTGAGTTGCTATGACCTGTCGCTGGTAACTCGTCCTGAAGCGGTCGACAGTAACGTCAACGGCGACAGCTGCTGCTATGTGTCCATTGTATGTGTTTGTGAGTACCAATATGAGCCTGTCTGTAAATCTGTATGAATGTGTGTGGATAGATACTCCCCGATGTTCCGGCTGAAGACAGCAACAGCGACAATAGTTTTGACCTTCTATGTAACTACATATATAGACGAACAGTGAGGACGCTGAGATGTAAAGTATCGAGGGAGCTGCGATTATAACTGCTGCTAGCACCACTACTGAAAACGTTTGGTTGTGTGTCGGCCGCTAATGGTTGCTCATGCAGCCGTACCGAGCGACAACATTGCACTAAACGTGATGTTTCTGCGGCGACGGAGCCCATCGGCAAGCGGAGCTCGGCGTTCGGTGAGAAGATTGCGTCAACGATGAGAGCAGACGGAACACCCGAGATAACTGATGATGGCAATGGCGGAGACGCCGAAAACCGCAGCCAGTGTTAGTGCAAAGAACGTGAGACGTTCGCGCAAAATACCGTAAAGGAGGAAAGAATAGCTAAAAGCAGTTGGCCATTACCATAAAACTAAGTGACTCAGTGATGACTGCTTAACTGGTTGCTGAGTCGGATTTACAGAATGTGGAATGAACAACCACCAGAACAGGCCAAAACATTTGGTCCGAATGCTTTTGCAGGGTCGATTTGAAAAAACCAGTGCACGGAAGGCCCGTATTGCACGGGTTGCGGGCGAAATTAAGGCAATATATTAGGGCAGGGAAATATGCAAGCATTACGATAATAAATGTATCACAATAACGTAACAACAAAAATAAGTACGAGTTAAGTGCGAGTATTTAACAGGTAAATAAAGGGCACGAAAAAGAAAACATTTTGACTCAATGTGTATCTAAGTGGCTAAAGCGTGAGCCTGCTTTGGATTTTCACTACGCGTTAAAACTTTACGGGGGGCTCATATCGTATGAGGAGGACACGCTATTTGGAGATACACGCTTAATTTGAGTTAAAGAAAACTCTCATGTGATTTGGGCGAAACCAGGGAAGTACGGCCGACAATGTAGTGTATAGGTAAGCCTACGTCAGTATATATTGGTATACACAGCACATGATAGCGTTACGCCTTGATGTTGGGTATTCACTTTAAATTGGCAAATGCCGTATCAGTTGAATGCCGGTACAGATGTATGTGGCTTTCTTTATTCATGCAGATTCTGTAGTGTTTATGCATGATTGGCGAAACTAGAAGCAACGTCCCGTAGTCTCAACTAGAGGCTTCGATACAGATGGTAATGGTAGCTTCCGTCCCGTGTTCAAACTGTAATTGATAACAGTAGTGGTCGCCAGGATATATAAAACTTGCATAAGTGAAGGTAATGGTATCCTGTTGGCGTAATAATAAAAGCTCAGTGTGATAGACTCAAAACGTATTTTTAAACATTTGGGTGCAACTGTGTAAATCACTGTGGTAAGTGCCGAATACGGCTAAAAAATATTCTTGATTCTGTAGAAGACTAGCTTCAGGTATTTTTTTGTATATCCTTTGTCTAGGGATAATTTTCAAATTCACGGCTAACTGTCGGTAGTACTCATCGTCACAATCAAATTCGTAATAGCAAGTGTCAACATTAAAGTAGCGACATCAATGATATAATAGCTTCTAATCCCTATTTTCTACCTTAACATGCGCACCTGCGGTCTTAAATAACTAAAAAACGCGTTCTAGCAACGTTATTTCTAAAGAAGTCTCAATCTATATATTATTTCAGCATTTCACGTAAGTACATTATCATAAGCAGTGAGTTGAAATTACAAATAAGAACTATATATAAGCTTTGCTATAAATTCTAGCACAAACTGAAAAATGTTTCCATGGTTATCTGTAGACAAATATTTCAGCAACTTAAATATGGGACCAGTTGCATAATATTTATAAGGTTTTGTTTAGTGATACATAGAGAGATATGCCCTGAAAGATAGAATTAAATTTTGGAAATGTGCGGGTTATATCAATTCGCTTCACAGTTGAAAACGCCAAACTACTATCTGTCGGCTCAAGGAAGACATTTGTCTGTTCCATTTCTACAAGAGTCGTGGCCAAAGCTTAATTACCTGCCAAAAAAAGGACCAGAAGAAATTTAGCAAAACAAATCTTTGCAGATTGCTTTGACATTCACGACATTTTCGATGAATCTCGCCTTACGCGCAAAAGACAGTTGGGATAAGCTATGCCCACAATACATTGAATGTAACTTTCCGTATTTTTCCTCTAGTGATAAGAAATAATTGTTAGGTAACCGCAGAGGTTACTTGCGTAGCGTTACATGTTTCTTTTTCAAAAAAATTGATTGAAATTTTCATTTACTCAAATGCTTTTAAACAGGTAAACAACACAATATTCTATGATTATGACGTATATGGAAATATTAAAGTACCTTGTGTCATACAGATAATATGAGTTTTGTAGAGTTTTTAAAAGTAGTTTGGGGATATTAATTAGATGTTTTAAAAGTGGTACCATGACTAGCGAGCGATGCGGTACATATCACAATTCCCCGCATCTAGTCTGTACACATGTACTGCCGAACCCGGTTCCCTAAAGAATATAATGGAACCTATGCGCCGCAAAAAATGCGACGACATGTTTGCTTAGCCAGTTCATCCTTTTCTACCTGCTGTTCTTCAACGTATCCGAAGCAGAGAATTTTTCATCGATTTCCGCTAATCTTCGCCTTCAATTTCTAGAGCTTATTCGTAACGTTTCTGTTACTGGCAGCTCATATAAACGGCGTAGATTGTCGGACAACAGTAGCGAGTCGGGTAAAAAATAAAAATAAATTCCCGAGTTGTTATGTGTGGTCCCAGAGCTCTTTTGAAGACAAAGAATTTGACACGATCTAATATTTGAAATTCTCCACTGTGAAAACTTCCCAAATGACGCTTGTGCCTCAGCAGTACCTTCCGGCATCCTTCGATGACGTGAGCTGTGAATTTTCCGCCATTACAACCGAATAGTAACCTCAAGGATGAAAATCGGTCAACAAAGGCAGAAGACGACTTTGCGGAATACAATCCGTCAGTACCTGCTGTCCTGCCACATCTTCTAAATTTCATTGCCTCTACTTTGGTGAGGTTTCCGGTCATTTCCAGACTTATAACTGATAGAGCCAGGCTAGCTGCGCTTGAAACCTGTTCGTCCCGTATATCATTACATCGTCTACATGCAGGATGATTTCCACGAATTTTCTCGTCTCTCTTCTTTGATTATGAGAGCCCTTTAGCATCACCGAGAATAAGAGTAGACTCAAATTGTCCCACTGAGTCATGTTAGTTGTCTGTGAGAAGGGCGAGAGTTTGGCCACTCCATTGTCGATCGCTATTCTGTGCACTCGTGGAATCGCAGCGAACAGGTTGATCATATTTACTGGGACACCTACCTCGGCCTACGTAAGCATCTTCTCACTGAGCAGCGAGTCCAAGATTGCGTTGAAATTGACGAACGCCGCAAGCAGGTGGCGCACATACGAGGCACTTCCAGCATTTTCAAGTTCTACACTACATCATGTATTCAGTGTGCTGTACATTTTATTAGTTCCAGCAAATATAAGTGATAAAAATACATTCAGTTATTACCGGCAAAACATTAAGGATAATAAAATAATATGACATATTTAACAAATAAACGTTATTATGCATTTTGTCGAACCAATTTCAGCCAGGACAGCATCACCCCTGATATTATTGAAGATTGAGTCACCGTTTTAACCAATGAGCCCAATCACTGTTCCAAACGGATGTGGTAGCAGTTTGTATGCATGTATTTTTAATAAATACTTTTTGATAGCGCAAGCGCTGCACATACAGTTGCTTACCTATTGTGCGGTAGTTCATTATTATTATTGGTTCTGCTTAATCTCACAAAAAAAAGATTGAGTAAAAATATTAAGCACCGCTCAAGACAGCAACACATGAGACAACTTTCCTTATCCCTAAATAGCCTCCTTAATTTTTATCTTGGATATAGACAAAACTAACCGTAGTTTGTAGTTTTCTTATCTTTTTCGGCAACTACTGCGTTCGGCGTAACAGTAACAAAACTGAGTACTAATTAATTTATTTTGCACAATAAACAACGCAGCTCTCTTTCATAATTAGCCTACTGTGAAATATCTATTCGTGTTATCATTATTATTATTAGTTTGGTGATGTTTTCCTCCAGTCTTTCTTACGGTAATCCAACCATCTTCATCAGGCTCGTTCGTTTTCCGTCGAAGTTCCTCTGTGGCCAATGACGCCACCTTAAAGAGAAAAAGAGCCGGACACCATAACATATTCGTAAGTTTCTGCCATTCAGAAACAGCATTGGGCCAAATTAAACCTTGCGTATCGCCTTGGCTGTATGTTTACTTTATGCTTGATAACAAGTTCAAATCTAATGATTTGCTCACTTTCAGCTGTATCATATATATATATATATATATATATATATATATATATATATATATATATGATGAAATGCAATGAATATATATAGATAAAATTACCAATATATAATAAACTATATATTCATTGCTGTGTCAATCAATAGCATTAACTTATTTTCAAATGTATCAATGTACACTTATCAAATTAAACAGTTTTCTTTATACGCTAAATCTATTGGACCTGATAGTAGAAACCTTGTCTTGCAAATCGTCCTTTTACTGTTTATTTACAGATGTTATGTACTGATAAGGTAGCAAAAATAGTTTGAGTTTGTTCTTATCTAGAAATAAAAAGTATTAGATATACGCATCTGTGTAATTGCTTATGAAGGTGTATTCACTTGTTTTCTAATTTCGCTCAAAAATATTTGTAGGCCTAGGAATTAATATTGAAAATATCACTGAAACATTCGTTCTGACCTGCTTAGAAACGGCGTCCATGTCTTCTTCCACAATCATCTCCCTGTCGGGAGTCACCGGTTCTGGTTCAGCGCGAATGCTGGGCATGGCAGGCCGCTCTTTGGGCAACTGATCTAACGCTTCTCGAATTCGTCCTTGCTGACACATCTTTTGCAGTTGCAACAATAGAAATGCGATCTGAGGCAAGGTTCCATCTTCTACGACCATGTCAAATTCGTTGAATAAGATTTCTGCTAAATAGTCTTCGACGTCTGTAGGGTCCAGATCAGTTTCCTTGTTCAGAAAGTCCGATACCACCTAATTGTAGAATCGAAGAAAATTAAAACAATACGCAATTAGTCAGGAAACTATACTTAATATAATAATATTGTTGAGCTAATTCGTGATTTAATCGAACGCATGAAGCATCCAGAATAGATTATGCAGACGTATGCACAAAGTAGCATTTGTCAAAAATTCATATATTTTCTATCTGCATATCAGCACACTCACCCATGTATGAGTTACATGCGAAAGCGCAGTATCTCGATCTCTAAAATTTAAGATTTTTTAACAATATATAATCACATAGCCATTTATATTGATTCTTCCCGTTTATGAGTGTTGCTTTTTATCGTGGGTCAATTTAATAATTTTATAATGCTTCACTGTCGGTAATTAGAGCAGCAAATATGAAAATCTGCACAATTCTCAGCTGTGGTTGACAGAAAAATTCAAGTGAGACCCATAGTCGTACGTCGATTGCATTACCATAGCTTTCGTGAACCAACCTGCGCCATCCAGCGTTCCTTAAGGGGTCCGTCTTTACCTCCCAGACCCTGTTCTATCGCAATTCGAAGACTAACCCAGTCCGAAAGGATGCGTGTCACTATTACCTTAGTCGCCTGCTTCGTGCCCATAGCTTCGGCTGCCATTAGCCCGAGGAAGTTGTTTGTCACACGTTTGTACCCAGCTCTCACTGATTTTCAAGCAGAGCTAAGTATTGAAATTAAGACAGTCTACTTAATTTATACCGAACATAAATAGCATAGCCAGAAAAAAACACTCTTTGGAAAATGAATGGAACAGACTGGGGACCGGCTGAAAAGCCCACGCGGTTTTTCTTCAACGCGCCGTGTTTTCATGTAGCATATGTGGTGCGCCATGACGACGCTAATGATTTCTGACTGTCACTGTCCGAGGTTGGCGGGGTGTAAAATCCAATAACTTCATTCGTAGTGTTATAAATCGACGGAAGATCTTTAATGGTTATGAGGAATAAGCAAGATTTATTAAGCAAGAAGAAGAGAAATTATAACCCCATAAAGAACTATGGATTTTCCAATAAGAAATAATTGACCAACACTTGCTACGCATTCAGAGACATTAAGTTGGAATGCTTAATAAGGATCTAAGATAGGTTCTCGCTTGAGTACTAAAATTAGCTTGAAAGAACTAGATTTAACACGAAACCGTATTTGCCACTAGGAGCTAATCTTACTTATTTAAAGGTGCAGTTTCGTTTTATAGAGGTTACTGGGAATGCTTCCATGAATATAGTTAGGTGTGCATCCGATAGCCAATTTACTATTTCGAAAAAATAAATTACTACACAACTTTTGACTTCTTTTTTCTAATGCTGTTATGCGATAACGAAATGTACTAACGACGCAAGAGCCACTTTTCTAAACAGTATAGTTATTAACCATCATCACCACAAAATACAAAAGCCTTCAATGTAATTCTTATTGGTACTTGGTATCAAATTAATTTTACGATAATGCTTTATAAATCCATCGTTTTAGTCTAATCGCATCATCACACAGTGGTGATTTAATTTATCTATGTACAGGAGACAAAATGAATCGTCGGCTCGGTCACGTGTTGAGGTTTTAAAATATTGTTACCATTGTGATTTCCGAATTAGGTCTCAGAAATCGCTTTCTATGTATGAGATCCCCGGCCTGAATGGTTGCCTTTATGATTAAGAATATAGAATTTGATGAACCTTAACGTGTGCGACGCTTTAAATTTTAGCGGTGATTTTGAAGAAGCACTCTGTATTTACTCGGACGGCATGATAGACAGATGACTATCGAATGAACGCTTCTCAACAGAACCCAAATCGAGCTTTCGTTCTACGCGATCGGCACCGCGCATTCTCGTTCGAATAATTTGATTTTCCTTTTTTGATATTCTTGTTATGCTATTGCATTGGTAATAATTGCAGTCGTATCCTTTTCAGTGATAAGTTTAATTTCTGGAACGAAGAGTTGATCTAGGGGTTTCACCATGTCTTCGTGTAAGGCCGAACAGGAAGAGGAAGCTGAAGTATTGTTGTCCATCTACGAAGGGGATTCGCTATTTAAGCAGGTACGCACAAATTTGCTTGGTGTATTCACTGTTATATTTGAGTGTAAAGGAAAACATGTGACAGCAAATAAATAGATTGACTATGTAATGATAGCTATCAATAGCTTGTACTTCTGGTAGAACTGGTAATAGTTACCCAGAAACTCGTAAACAACTAATAAGAAGTTAATAAATTCAGTATGTCTCAAAGAAAGACGTGATAGCTCCTTGTCGATTTATAATAACAATAAACATTTTAAAAAAAAGTATGCAGGTTTGCGCTACGGAATTGTTTTTGTATAGGTATCTGTGGCGGTCTTCAATTAGCGGCACAATCTCATGTGTCCAATGGCGTGCGTAACGGGTCCAAACCACGCTAACGATATCTATTACACAACAAGCGTACTTATAATAAAAAAAAAGGATTGCATTGAATATAACCTGTTCTTCTCAGGCCTTGTCCTTGAAGAACAGCCGCTGACGAACACAGCGTAGTGTCCGATGCAGTAACGAACTTTCTCGGATCAAGTTACCCATAAGTACATGCCTTGCTTATTAATTCATTGCTAAGGTATTTGTGTAATTCAGAATTCCGTTGGTTTGTTATCCGCACAGGTATCCCCCACTGTATATCACTACCGTTACGGAGAAGAAGGTTCACCTCGAGCGTTTGTTGCAGAAATTACGTGGACAGATGACTATCCAAATGCGGTACCTGAAGTTAACCTTGACCTTTTTGGAAACAAGCATCTCCTACAGGAAATTCGAGATTGGATACGCGAGAAACTTCTCGAGCAGGCCGAAGCCAATATAGGTGACGTGAACATATTTTTTTTTATCAACAATCTCTTCCCTGACCTGCTTCGATATATAGATACATCGAAGTATCTGCTAAAGACAAACAACATTTTAAAATAGGGCCCACTTTTCCCTCTGGAGCTTTACTTTTGCGTATAATTTATTCTGTCATAGAGAAAGACCATTCTATGCCTACACCTGTTATTCCTCGAATTCAAAATATCATTAACAAGGCTCAGAATGTTTCGTGACCGAGTTTAACTTTTAATTTGTTAAGCACTGTGGTCTCCGAGTTGCTTTTAAAATAATACAGCAGTGATAAAACCGGGAGCGGTTATGTTGTTCCTAAACAAAAACTAAACATAGCTGACCCACTTCTGAAAGTTGTTGAACTTAATTGCTGTTCCAGGAATGCCAATGACCTATACCCTGTTCGAATGGCTGAAGGAAAATAGCGATCAGTTAACGGCAGAGCAACCGGACAAATCTACAGTAACTGAGGATCTTTTTACAGGTGAAAAAGACAGTTTAGTTGCAACTTCCGGGGGGGGGGCACCTAAAGAACCAAAAAAAGAAAAATTAACGAAGTCTCAAAAACGGAAACTCAGTAGCCGAGTCGTTTGTGGAGAGCTGCCTCGTGGCCACGATTGGGTTGACGTCATCAAACATCTACTTCAAAGTGGGTCTGCGGGGTAAAAGGTGTACTACCTTGTTAGGAACAGAATTTAGTACAGATACTCTGTACTGTTTGGTACTAGTAGCCTGTAGTACTGGTTGGGGTGGGTTGCGCCCTATGATGCACAACATGGAATAAATTACGTTGTAATATTTTAAACAAAAAAAGGCGTATTTTCTCTGTTTTAACCGCAGGGTTCCCTTAAATATTTCCTCTCATTTGCGCTAAACACAAACCTCGTAGTAATTTATGGTTATTTATCGATTCTTCTTTACCAACTAAAGTTCACTACATGCGCATAATATTTCGCAGTTATACTTTAAAGCAAGCTCAAGTATCATTCAATGATAAAACTTTTCACACAATTTGCGAAAGGTTTGCATAAATTTAACCAGTCAAAAAAGGACGACAAAGTTAACCATTCAGACGCTATATTTGAAAAAATCGTTCCGACCCTTGTTTCAAGTGCACGTGGAAGCACACCGTCACAATTCGACACACCCATTGTACTCGGAATATTGCACACAAACCTACGAAATAACGAAAATGTATTTCTTTATTCTTGTTTTTTTTTCTAAATTTTGCTTAATTGTGCGCTGTTTTCATTACGTTTAAATTATTTAACATAATCATCAAATGAACACCTTAAAAAGAGATTCAAAACCCTGGACGGAGTCAAACTGACTGCTTATTTCACGCTATTACTCGGTCTATATACCAGAGCCAATTACAGTCTGAAAGTATACACATCTTTCGAAATGCCTCTCTTCGCAAAAGTTTTACTGGGTGTTTTTAACACTTGCGTCATAAACGTTAGACATTTTGTTTATGGTGAGGGCGAGCGAAGTAAGGTTCACATTAACTAGATGCGGTAATTGCATAAAGAAACGGAAGGAGTGTAACGCGATATTATGATAGGAATTTTGTTTTTTTATTGTTGCATTAGTACACTGTCGTTGCAAGGCTCTAGTTATGTTTGTAACGGGGCTATATCTTTTATTTTTTTTTCTATCAATGAAATGTTTATTTATAATTTAGATTCCATTAAACTGAGATGTATACAAGTTGGGAAATCAGCACAATTCGTGCTACTAAATTTTTTTAACAAAATAAAAAAGTCGGATCGTCTAGAATTTTTTTTTAATCGTATTGAACGTTTGTTGTACGATAAGTCAGCAAAATAATCAACTCCTTTCATGATTATTATACTGAGTTACCGTGCCGACGACAGAGCGCGTCCCAAACTATAGTTTCGCTTGAGCTTCAGTTAGAGAGTTGGCCAACGAGTATTACAACAGTAGCAGCAGAAAGTAGTAACAATACTTCTTCAATTTTTTCTTGTTTTTTTTTCAGAATTGAAAGAAATATGAAATTCTTTTTCTCAAAAAGTGTATTCATTGTAATTGATCACGGATCGTTTCTGGTTTCAGTTTCTTTTTCTTTATATCGATCACGATAGATTTCTGCTTTTTTTGCTCCAATTAAAAAACTCTTTAATGTATCTATATTCTGGGAATATATGGCACACCATACTTCAAGTATATATGAAACCTAATGCCGTCGATTTACATGAATTTTATAGAAAACTTCGAAGCGAGTTGCCTCAGAATAAAATTCAGCTTAACAGAAATGTGTGTATGTGTGCATATGTTAAAAGCATCGTATTACCACACTCATTGCGCTGCACGTCGTCGTTATCAACAGCCTTTTACTGCAACTCTTTTTGAAAGAAATTTTGATGATATAGTGGAGAGACAATTTTTGCCCTCTCTTGAGTTTATTAAACCTTGTCGCTACTAGCTAGATTCCCTGGCTTGTGATGTGCAATAAGCTAATGTAATATCTGCTGACTGCATATGTTAGAGGTCGTATTGTCATGAACAAACCTGCTGTGTCTCTATGACTGGCAAAACATTCCAGAACATAAAGAGCGGTGAATTCTGGTCTCGTTCATTAGGTTGGGTAATTTTCCATTAGTAAATGAAGTGTACAATGAGTAAAATGTGTTGTGATAGTATATTTGAGGACAAAGTAATGTTTATTAGGGGAACTTCATGCAACCTAAAGCGTGATTGACTTTTATATGCTTTGCCTAAAGGTACGCGAGACATTCACTGCTCGCTCCACTTGAGTTTACTGCAAAAAAATGGCCTTCGGTATGTCCATGCAATGCAAAAAATGATCCACTTTTTTAGATTTGTTGTATGCATGTGAAGGTTAAAGATAATTCTAACCCAATAATATTCCACGGTATGCTTCATTGATTTTTTCGTAGGGCCAGGCCCCTACTATTAAAGTCACTTTTCCCTGTCTAAAATCCAATTTTTGACGAATCGACATAAAAGTCTTATCGCATAACGAATTTAGAAGTGCCCGCATAGTTAGAATATGCTTAGATGTTTCTTGGTTTGCTATCATTATGTCAGAGCAAGTTTGTGTCAATATCTTGAACTAATATTGGTTAAATGGGCAACACAAGACCAGTTTGGCTATTATTAATTATTTAACGGAACTTCATCTTGAATTTAAATTCGTAGGATATAAGTTATCTGACCGCAGAGAATTTATTACTCGTTCCTAAAATAAAGACGCAACATATTTAGAAACTGTGATAGGACACAAGCATATTTTCTTTTTTTTTTTTTATATGCATATACATACTTAACCTCTATAAACCACGTCCGCAGAAGGAATAAAATGTGCGCATTATTATAAGCTTACAGCAGCAAAAAAGATAACACCGACCGAGATAACAGACCGATATCAGTACTTTATCTTCGAAATTCGCCAAAATCTTTCTTGCAAAATATTTCCCATATGTTATAGGTTCCGAATATAGTGCAGCAGGACGATTCGGTGTTGCTGTCTCTTTTAAAATAATTCACATATTTTCTTCTTGCTGACACAAGCATTTTTGTTACTTGTTCAGTTAATGCTCGCCGCTCTTCCAGGTGCTGGGTTCCGCTCGCGCAAGATCCCAAACAGTGCACACGTTTATCTTGTGTATCGATTGTTTTTGGTAAGAAAGCAAGAACACAAACCGACTTCTACGGTGTTTCATCTGTCTGGTGTATGTTAGTTACTGACTGGGTCTGTGATGTAGACCGAAAAGTATAGTAACGCTACAAGTGAAAGCTGTAACTGCACAGTCTTGTTTCTGCACCACCCTGTGCGTCCGGGTTCACCGAATCCTATGAATAGTTTGGCCAGTTATCAGTACGACAGATGTAGTCACATTGCGTAGTTAGATTATCTCTTTGGATTCTTGGTGTCGACAAGTGGCAGAAGCTTCAGAAATACAACTGAAAGGATGGTGCAAATATTGAGCTATCATTTATTTTTGATCGTATTTGTGGTGGTAACGTTTCCAGTCTCGTGTTGGGCTCAATATGAAGACGTTCGTTGTAAATGCATTTGCCCTAACGCCTCAGTCGTTGGAAGTCAATCTGGCAGCAATCGGAAGCTATACATCAAAAATGTAGTTCCCCAAAGGTACACCAGACGAAGCTTTTCTGGGGTATTTTCTAACTGTTTTTATTATATGATCATGTATTGGCGATGGAAACAAGTTATAATAGATATTTTAAATATTAACTTCAAAATTACATTTCTGGTAAATACTAATAGACTGGCTGTATCCACAAGGCGGTACCATTAGATTTTTGGAGAAACCAAGTTGTTATCTTTGTACAGTCTGTAATTAGTTTGAATGTGTTATTTTAATTTTTATAATTATTACTAGGTTATCATTGTTTCTTCACGATAAAATACAACGATAACTAAAAAGCTATTGATGCTGTTTTTCCCATAGGATTTTGCACGATCCAAAAAATTCAGCTAATTTCTATAGCAGTTTCGCATAAGCAACCTTCATATCTGTATTTGGTTTTGCTTTGGTTATTTTTAATAAGCACTGGACAGTTTGATATAAAACATTTCCTTTCATAGACAACAACAATTTATTAAAAAAAAAAATTTGCGAAGTAATCTTCGAACTTGTGTTAGTTTTTTTTAATTTGCACTCTGTTTGAGGTACCAAATATATGTCAGCGCGTATTAAACGTGCATTATTCTGTAAAAGTATCAATTTCTGCTTCTACTCTGTCTGGCTCATATTCACTTCAAGATGATTTTTTAGTTAACGAGGCATTGAAGCGTGTAAGGTTTAAAAAAAAATAGCTATATTTAAACTGTTTTATCTGCGTCTTTAAGGTCTAGTAGTAATATTGCGTTGGATCGGCTGAGATCATACGGGGCCGAGTTCATCTATTGCACTTCATCAGTTTGTCATCTCAGTAAAATTCACAGTGCAACGAATCAATTTCTATTCCTACTACTAGACTATAGAGAACCGCACGTCCCTGTTTGGATACGCGAATTGACCTTATCAGCAACTTTTATGGCGTTGTCTAGGACAAGTCTTATACTCACTAGAGCAGGAAAACCTATAGCTCATAAAGTAGGCTGTTTTAAATAGTAAAAATTGTGTCTTAGGGCCTTACAGTGATATTATGAGGGATTAATTATGCGTAGAAAGCACCCGTGATCTTCTAACATGACCTGATTAATAATTATAATTAGTGTACAAATACATGTATGGTCAGAGCCGACTTAGTGACAATGACTAAGGATAAGCTATGCAGTCAAAAATATATAACTGGCAAAATCTTTTAGACATGCTGAGGGCACACAAGTATAGAACAAGCTCGAAATAGGTAATATTATATAAGCGATATCAGCGTGGTCAAACATGCGAGCAACTAAATTTACTACTATTACAAAGATTAGATTAAACAAGAACTGTTATCCTTTCATTTACAGAAAAACCATGAACTTATTTTCTATGCAGTTATTTGGTAGTATATTCGTTGAAATATATTTGAGCAGAGTGCCCTTGTGGAAAAAATGCGCATTGTATGAATATTATTTGTATGGCTTCAGATGTAACTGCGAAGGTGTGGTGATGCCCCATGTGGACACCGACCTACGAGATAAAGCAGCTGAATTCTGCCCACGATGCGAGTGCAAGTGAGTCAAAATGACAAGTGCATAAGGTTCAGCGTATGAAATGATTTTATTTAAATTTTTTACATATACAAAAGGAGTGGAACTTTATGGCCTATATGAAGTATATAATGGTAAACTGTAATCGAAGACGACACATAATTTTCTCAAAGCAACAGTAGGAGGATGCATTTCCATTTTTATCATTTTCTTCTAGATTGTTCTGCAGGCGACATTGTGGAAATATGCATAAAAACAATCTAAGGTAACCCGAATTACTCCATTCGGGAATGTCCAACAAGACATGATGACACTCTTTAGTAACTGCTAAAGTAATGAAATTTCAGGTACGAGATACGAAATACGATGACAATTCGTGTCTGCGTAATCCTCCTCATCTGTGTAGTTGCATTATTGACGCTCTACATGGCATTTCTGAGGTGGGTTTCGGAAATAACATAAGCATAGGTGCTAAAAAAGCAGCAGCATATAAGAGCTAGGCTCAAACGAATTAAATATAACGCAGAACAAAAAATATATCAGTGTCTTAATTGTGGGATGAATCTTAATGATATTTACTTATTTTCATTCGGGTCTAGTGATTATCGTATATCTACTTATATTATGAATTCTGGGCATGTCATGCTTGTTGTACGCTTGTCGATTTTAATAAGCGACGAAGTAACATTGAATAATAATATTAATTATAATAATAATAATAATTGACGTTTTTTGTGGTATATTGCAGATGCTTAGAGCCACTACTAAACAAGCGCCGAGGCGGTATTGTTAAGTACGAGGAGCACCTGAACGAAGATGTAAACCTTGGCGATTTTGGAGCACATGACGGTATGTGTGCAATATATGCCGATCGTTTTCCCTTCAACTACCTTTAGAAACTATAAATGAGCTTCCTGATACGACATGTTTAATTACATTAGGTGTTACATACAATGTGCTTCACTAAAAGGATTCACTGACTTGTGCGTTTTGTTTTACCAAATTATTCAGTCGATTAAGCATTTATATATATACATATATATAAGCGTTTATAGTTAAGATACAATTACTGGCGAGACAGTAGTGAACGATGGATTCAGTTATCAATTTTATCAATAGCTATTTAATCAATAGCATTAATTGTTGTCAATGAATCAAGCACTCAAACAAATTTGCGAGTGAACGGTTAATCAAAATTGTCGTGTTATGAAAAAATTGTTCCTAGAAGTTTTATTTTGTTTTGGTACAAAGGAGTCGTGTAAGTTTCCACATACTGATGGCTCCGTTGGCTTATTCTATGAATCACTGCCAAGATGTTACTTCCAGTGTTATTTTGAAGGGTAAATATTCAACCGCTCTACGAGTTTCTTATTTACGAAGGCCTTTTTTATCCGACTGCTGTCAAATGGTACACGAAAAGACACTATGACATGAGCTTTAAAATTTTAGCTGGATTTCATCGAGTGCGAGCGAATTCCGGAAGGAAATATGTGTTACACTGAACAATATTCTATACAGCTACTAGGAAGTAGTGCTTACTTGGCTGGAAGTCAAGTTCTAATTGGGACCTTTTAGACCAAATAAGTCGAAAGATATGTCCGTTAACGAGCTGGAGTAAAAAATAGACCGTCCTTTCACTGAGAAATTCAACTGATATTGAAAAAATTGAAACAAGGCCTTTTTCCTAAGGACGAACACTATATACCAGGTATGCACAGTTTAAGAATGAACAGTCAAGGATCATATATGGACGGCAGAAATGTATGCAATTTTCTGATGTACTAATCTGAACAAGGCTTGGCCACAATTTTGCATGTATATTCATACTGCATTTCTGCCTGTTTCCAGGTAATATCTCGTCAGAAGGTGAATTACAGTTACGAGGTGCGACGAGGGTACGATCTGGCTCTGGAGTTCTGGACAAGGTTGGTGCACAACAAGATCGATGGAAGCGACAAGTCCAAGAGCAAAGAAGAAATATCTACGATAAGCGCACGATGCTAAACTAGGCCGCTTTGTGTTTAGTGACACTAGTGAATTATGAAAGCAACGGTTGAAATGTGCAAAACTGGGCGATTATTTATATGAATCTCTTTTGAATATCATTTGTCGAAAACGTAGTGTACATTGACTCCGTCTTCAAAATTGTGAAATGTCAGTTTCACTAGACGACTTCTTCGCAAGGGACGTCAACAAAGAAACGTATGACCAAACGGAGTCTTGTTAGCCTTGGAGAGCTTCTCCCATACGTAGAGGATAATATGTTATTGAAAAACTGTTTATCAATCAAAAAAGAATAATTTAAAACTAGCGGCATATGGATTGATGTGGCGAGTGGCAACGTTTTAAGATCACTTGGTGAAATAGTATTTTTTAAAAGCCTAACTTAAGATTAGGTACGCCAGTGTTCGGTTGTTGACCTAATTTTCAAGTTGGGTGCCATGAAATTTACTATAATTATATTTAACGTCTAAATGGCAGAAGATGTTCATTGAAAATTAGCGGAATATTCAAGCAAACTAAGAGTATAATATTACAAAAATGTACTTGCACCCTCATAGGAGTTCCGGTGCGCGCTTAAGCATTATATAGTTTCTTACTTAAACGCGACATATTTGAAATCCATAATTTATTTTTTGCGAAGTGAACCAATAGAACAAAACACATCAGTTAGCAAAAAATAATAGACTATAATGGGAAATATAGATAATAGCATTGATGAAAATGAGTTGATTACTATTTCTTTCCAGATCATTATTTTATTAATTTCAAACATTTAACAAAATCATTAACACAACCAAGTGAATTTCAGCTCTAAACAGTGAATCAAGTTTAAACGAAAATGAGGAATTCAGAGCGGTTAATTCATCGGTGGCTTCCGTTAGGTTTCGTAAATACGTAAAAGCAAACGGCTAATATGTTTTTTTACAATGATAGAAATCTATTTCATCGTGAGCTGTGACTGGCGAAAGCTGAAACGAATGCTAATAAGTATTCAGTGTAAATAGGTTGTAACCGACAAATATTACCCAGTCTCAGCAATGTAATAAATTTTATTTTAGCACAGTTTACAAATCAGTAACGAAAATTACTGTATACAGTAAATTGTGTTAAAGCAATACAGTGCTAAGGCAGAGGTATATGACAGTTGTATAGAGTAGACGGATAAAAATCCGTTAACAGATCTGTAATCGTAATAATAAACCATTAAATTCGTATTAGATGTCTAATAAAAGTAGACCTAAATAAGGGAGTTATTTTCACTATAAGGGCTTAAAGGCTCTATGGGAAGTATTCGAAATAAGCTAGCTTTCAACGATAATCTAATTAGACAGTCTTAAGTCGCTCACTAATTGTTTGAACATCGCCAAAAATGATTCTCTGCTAATATTTTTAAGCTTATGGACATTCATAGACACGTTGGAAAACCTTAGGAAATAATTCGCTTATGCTTTTACTTCAAAGACTTTTTGTTTAATTTGCTTTTCTTAACCTTTTTGTCGTCAAAAGGCGTGTATATCATTTGCATTTTACAAATAGCCAAAAAATATGGAAAATACGCATTTTATAATGTGTTAGCTGGATGAGCTATTATTCAGTGAGTGGTTTCAGTACACTGGAGGATATCGTGAGTTATTTTTCCAACCAAATATGTGGGTAGAACCGAAACAGAATGAAAGAGAAGCTCAACAATTGAATTAGATGCGCTTCAGTACCTACAGACGAAACCTTCAAATACTGAACAAAGTTGTTTCATTCAGTAGGTACTCTTTATTATTCACAACTACACAATTATAAAACCTATATCTTCTTGAATGGCAAGATGTGCATGTTAGTCGAAGGGTTGCGTAGGTAAATTTATGCGGTTCGATTAGTGATAATAATTTTTAATATTACGATGAGGTTTAATTGTCATTACTTATGTATGTACATAAAGGATATGTGCATAAAAAAAGAAAAGCTCTATTGGAAGAGTGCATGCTTTGCGAACATGGTCTACGTGAGTTTACTTTTTATGGCTATTCGAGATGAGAGCGGTAATCGCAGCCTTTAGTTCAATTTGTTCTCCCAAGTAAATTACAGATGTGGCTTCGGCGCACTATTGCCAACTGGTAAGATCACAGATCTGTTTACTTAGCAACTAAATATTTATAATTACAATTGCATATATAGATTAAAGAAGCACAGCCGTAACTAGTATCTGGAAACAAATATCCTCATTGCACGAACAAAGATGTTCTACAACAAAAAAAAAAGCTATTTTAAACAGCTTTCCTATTAGATTTGAACTTTAACAGCGCCCCGAAGTTTAGCTGAACGCGACCTAGGATTTTGTTCAATCTCATCCTCAGAAGGCGTCACCACATCCTTGAAAATAGAAATCCATTTAGGTCTCATCTCTGTGGGCTTATGCCATGCCCCAGCATTCCGATACTTTTGAGCGATAGTGTGTGAAACAGGTTCATCCATATCAACTCCTGAAAAGTGTCTCTTAACGATTCGATCCTCAAGGGAATGAAACGAAATCACAACAGCTTGACCTTCGTTATGTAAAATATCGTACATAAGGTGCAATCCGCGATTCAGTTGATTGAGCTCATCGTTGACGAAGATACGTAGTCCCATGATTGCTTTAGTGGCTAGATTTACTTGCCTACCAATCATATCCGTGCGAAAGTGGCTGGGCGCGAACGCAGCCTCTACCACTTGACAGAACTCGCCTATGGTTCGTATCTGCTTCATCTCGTATCGATAGCTAATTATGGCGTCGGCTATTTTGCGTGCATACTTCTCCTCTCCATATGTTTTGAAAATTTTTGCCAGTGATTCCGCACTCAAATGGTTTACCAGCTGCGCCGCTGTCGGGCCTTGGAGGTCGGCAGGATTCATTCGCATGTCGAACGGGGAGTTTGGCTTCGATGAGGAGAACCCCCGGGCGCTGTCCATTTGCATCGACGAGCACCCGCAGTCCACCAGGATTCCCGAAACAGATCCAGCAGGAACACCTGCATCAGCCAAGACATTTCTTATTTCAGTAAACTTCGCTACTCGAAAGTCGAATCTACTCCCGAACTCTTCTTTAAATTCCGTAGCGATACTTTCTACCGATGGGTCTCGATCAATGGCCACGACTTTGGCACCGCGTTTTAGAATTTCGCGCGTGTGTCCTCCTGCTCCGAATGTCATATCTACAAACGTTTTATCGGGCCGGACATTCAACGCAGAAATCGCCTCTCGTAGTAGTACGGGAACATGTTTCCGTTTTTGTATAGAAAGCGCTTGTTCAGACTTTGCAGTAGCAACAGTGAAATCTACCAGGCCACGACTCCAGTGCCGTGGTTTAAAGTAGCGCCTAATATTTGTACTATACATATTACGCCACATAATAAAAAGTAACGTCTATTAAAAATATAGCTGCGAAAATTTTATTGTGGAGGTCATTATACTGCCATCGCAAACGTGTGTTGTCTCGCTGGATCCACGGAAATTAACTCTTACTGTTACTCAGAAGCCCTGTTAGGACAGTCAACTTGTTCAAAGCGTATTGAATACGGCGGGCGCGGATTTTTGTTCGACCGGGTCCACGCATGGAGTTGCTAATAAACAGCTGGTATATTGTAGCGCAACATTAGACACCAAAACTGATAGAAAGGTCAGCAAGTTTACGGATCACTTTCTCTTGCAAACACTGCAAAGTGTTTTTAAAGAATGACATGCGCAGCGTAGGCGCAGACTATAACGTGTACTAAAAAGTAGAAGCGGCGCAGCATCAATTTCTGGTTCGATCAGGCGAAGCACATTCAAACACGTTCGAAATACCGCGCAGTCTGCAGGTAGTGCCAGTATTGGTTAATGTCGGCTAATTTCGAAAATGTGGGTATAATGTGTACTGCTTGCGTTTGAAATGAACGCGGTTCAACGATGAGTATCCAAGAGTTAAGGAAAAACTGAGAAAAAGCTGGCTAAGTGTTCGACGAGCCCAGCTAAGTCTACAGCGGAGTAAGTTCTTGTTGCGTAAAACAGAATAGAACATAATTGTACGAACAAGGACATCTTGAAAGTTAGATAAGCCTTTAGGAAAACTGTCAAAATGCGATTCTTCTAAATGTAACCTGCTATGGCATTTGCTCCTTTCGTTTTTCGTGATATTTCATACTAATTCCATGAAATTTCTATATCGCTAAATCAGAATTTTGACATATCTATTTATTAGGTCGTTCAGTATGAAACGTAACATGGGAAATTTGAACTTTTACACGGGCTGAGTTTTTTTTGTTTCCGATCGAAGTATACACCATTATTATTTATGACTTTTAACCATTTCGAGGATAATTTATTTATTTTGTTGCTGGGTACAAGAGTCGAGGAAGTTTCGAAAAGGAATAGCATAATGTTATTGAAACTTCATTGACTTGTCTAGTTAGGATTTGTCAAGATTTTCAAATAAAATAATGGTTTGCGAGAACGATTTTTGGCGGGTATCAATGACAGAGATCTGCTAACTGCAATTCTTGCTGGACTGGTGCAGCTGTAGTGGAAAAAACCTGCATTAGACCACCAAACATATTCTATAAGCTTTTACAATTGTACATTCGTTTTAGGGTGATGTGCTGCGGGTTCAGTTTCAGCCACTCACTGACACATTATCTTAGGGAATTTATTTTTCATCGGAAGCTGTAGTTCAGTGCAATAATGGTTCACTATTGTAAAAGAAAAATAAAGTAAGCGTTCAACTATGTATCTGTTTTTGATCCACGTTGAAATCATTCATTCTTTACCCTATTGATTTGACCACGGGAAATAAGTGTAGTATTTTTACATACATCAAACTTAGAAGCTAACATTTGCAAACTTTGAAATAGGTAGGATTTCCCGAGACCTCTTGACTCTGTGTTATTCGTCTTTGCAGTAAGTCTTCAACGGAACTCATTTATGAGTTTAAAATTTTCTTCCCAAAATTTTTGTAGCAACAGCTGACGGTGGCTTTGGTATTAAACCCTCTACGGAGCAAAAAATTTGTATGCTGGGTTATTTCCAAAATCGAACTCAAATCAATGAACCGATCGAATTCTCTAATCTTTCATAGTTTTCTACGAATAGCCTGCTAAAGGCCCGAGTGACTATATTCGTGCCAACGGTTTTAGGTTTGAAAAAACACACTTGCATCTCGAATACAAATGAAATTTCGCAAAATATCGCCCCGTTATCAGATAGCATCATGTTTATATATGTGGTTGATGTTAATCATCTAGACCTAATAAGTATATAAATGCATATTTTGTATGAATATTCTTATATTAATTATTCTATGATTGCTTGCAGATTTGTGTGTTTTGTAAAAGCTACATGCTATACCCACAGTAAATCCTCCCGGATCTGTAACCGGATTTCTCACACATTGACCCTACTGTTTTTATTCTCAGCAAAGGCTGAAATCCCTATGCCCAAAATACGTCTGCTGTCGGCGCTACCGCCCATAGTCTAGTGCGAACCAATTCGTAATATCTTAAAATTGAAGAAAAGAATGATATGCACGCGGCTTAAACCCTCTATGATTAGAGTTTTAGGTGCGGTATCGACGTTGAACATTCTATCAGACGGTTGCTTTTCAGCACGTAACGAAGTCTGGCCATGCCTGGACATTAACCCCAAGACTAAGCCTATTATAAGAATAAGATTAAGAACTAGGAAAATTAAGAAAGCCTAAGAACCCCTAAGATTAGCAGGCAAATAGGTCACACGGGGCTAAACCCTATTTCCGATAACTGGATACAAGGAATCATATATTTCGATGAACTTACAATGAACTTGAGACCTCGTGATCGTGAGTCCGTCGTTCTTAGCACTTATCCATTGCGACGGTCACAACATACTTTTTTATGTATATACATATTTAGATTATAACGTGGTACATGTTTTCCAGTCGGTACTTTATTTTTTTATTTACACAATATTATAGCGATCTCTTCCAGATGTATATCTACCTTGTCTCACATCTTCTTACCTTATAGTTCTAATTCTAGCGCTTATTAGTGCCACAATCCCAACGAGAGGGTGCATGTAACACTGTAAAGAAAAAGCGGAAGTTTTTTTAACTGCACTTTTGTGACTCAAATATACAGTGTTTATTCCCCTTAAACCACAAGCATTTAATACTTAGGGCATTTAATACATATTAAATTTTAACGTAGTAATAAAGATGTAATTCGAAAACATTAAATGTACGAAATTTTTTTTATTTGATAGCTGAACCAGTGAAGCTTGTTAGGAGTAGAAAAAAAGTGCTATTGCATGTCCAGTCTTCCCAAGTATTTGTTATTTGAGCCTACGTACATCTATAATTGGTCGCAGAGTCACCGCTAAGACAATTATTCACGTTGCTGAGAATGCCCCTATACGTGTTTATTCCTCCTATGTATTGTTCGACCGAACTCTCTTTGTGCAAGCCAAGAAATCAATTGTCTCGTAGACGTAAAAGTTTTTGGATCTTTTCCAAAATGCATTGTTGTATAGGTGTTCATAAGCCATTGCAAGTTTATTGCCTTTGCAATAATAAAGCGCACATTATTTATAATTACCTCGACTAACTTATACCCACACATTTACATGGTCATAAGTCCTCGCTTAAAAATGAGCTGCTTTCTTTACTGTTGTGCGTGCCATTCAGAATAACAGTATTTGGTGGAGTCCGTAGGTCTATCAGTTACTTGCTAGAAGTGCACAAACTATATACATTTTACAGCTATGTACTGTTTTTGAGAGTACTCGGATCACCACTTATTGTAGCCTCCGTGGTGAGATCCATACCAACCTCTATAATGGTGAGTACTAAAGTGGTTGCCGGGACCGCCGTGATGAAGGCCATATCCGGAGCTGTCGTAATAACCTACTTGAAGAACCAGGCCCAAACTGAATTGCTATTCCAGCGATGGCCGTTGATCGGCATTCAGCACCAGCCGAATCTTTTGACCCAGTTCATTTATATCTACCTTGGTTCGCTGGCCACCCTTCATGCAACATACTCCATGTGGCGACTTCGGCCATCCGCAGGCTGAATTGTGTATTGGTCTCGTGCACTACGTCCATTGGAAATTTGACTATAGCGGTGAACGCCGTCACCAACCTCTAAATGGTAACAGAACTCGTATGACGGTGGAGAGCCATGGAAATCACTACTGTAACTTCGGCCATGGTTGCCATCATCGTAACCGTGGTGGAAACCCGGTCCAGTTAGTTCCCCAGGTCTTTGGCCTCTTAAATGTTCTGTGTATCCGATAGGAGAGGGGTTTTCCGGGACTGTAGCTCCCGTAAGATCCTCTAAAGCGAGGAAAGTCGAATGGTCCTAGAAACGGCTCTGTATGGTGGTCAAAAGATATTTCTTGATTGAAGTGTCTTGCTGAAGCAATTACTATCATGTAGACGAAAGCACCGAAAACACTAGAAGCTCTTTTAAAGGTCACAAATATTATTAGATAACTTCATTAAAAAACTTGTGTTGACCTGTTCAGATGTAGTGTCATGTTTATAATAACCAATAAATTATCACATTAGCCAGAACAGTTCTATTCAACCGCAGTCGCGGGCTTGAAACTTTAATTTTCTTAAATATTCGTATTAGCAAATGATATTTCGGTGGCTCGAGTTTACACTAAGGAAGGAGAACAATAAAAAAAAAGTAGCTTTTATTTAGAAAAGTCACATTTATTTTTATTCGATGTTTTATTCCGACTGCAGTAGCTTATCGATTGTTCGTTTTTTTCACTTAGGTTATCACATTTATGTTTACGAAATCAACTTCGTACCAGCACTTGTGAGAGTTTGTTCGGATATAATAAAGTCAGAGACTTGAAGATGTTCGCTGAGTTATTGACAACGCTAACGAACATTAGTCGTGAAGGCTCATCAATATCTCGTAGCAACAACATCTTAACACTATGTGAAAGTTTGTGTAGGCAGCACCCGTGAAGCCCGCTAACAATGCAGTTATCGCCTCGCAGAGAGGCATTTCAGATGCTGTTCACTCACTGCACTCTTTGTGTACGGGTTCTAATCCTCACCATTTTTACTCGCTTGGGCCTAGGAAGATCCATTGATACCGTTCGTCAGTATGTGACTCTTTATATATTTGCGCGGATACACTCATAATAGTTATTGTTCAATAGCGTTCATCTCATGCTGTGCGAGGGCGATGTGTGGGTTAGATCGTTGTCGGCCGGAAAGGTGCTTCCTTGAATTACCTTGCCATTGCTCGGATCTCGCCATGGCGCTACCCCGGACATCTGATACTTTTAGTGCTCGACAAACGGGTTTAAACGATATCGAAAAGATCGTTTCCCACTTCTAGAAGTTTTCTTTCTAGAAAAAAATCAATAGTTTGGCCATGCGAAAGCGGTATCTTTTTATTTGTTTTACTATGTGTTCTTGCTTTTTGATTGCTAATCCAATCTGCGCATTTGTCATTCTGGATCATAAGAAAATAATATGGAGTTCATAAGAAAAAGAAGAATTAAGAAAGAACTGTTTTTGTTTGTAATTAAATGTATTGGTTTAGTCTTTTTCATAGCTATCTCCACATTTCATCAAGCTGAACTGCAGAATAATGGTCTAAAAAGATTAATATTTTTTAGTTTTTCCCCCAGACGAAGAATCGGTAAAATGCTATATTAGCGTCTTCATGCTGCATGTAGATTCATCGATTAGTAATTGCTTTGATAATGCTTATAATTTACACTTTACACTGCAAGCTATAAGGAACAAGAAATTAAAAAATACATTTCTCATGCGATTTTCGAACATTACTTGATAATGTCGTTTCAAAACTTCTTTCGCCGGTTATGCCACCGGCAAAACTGGTCGAAGAAATGTACAACTGGGCTAAGCAGAGGGCTGTTTATCTAGAGCGGTTCTATTAGTGTAGGGCTCAGCCCCGATGTGAAGCAACAACCAGCAATTTTAAGCATCCATTACGTTATCCTTTTTGATTTTCCATGCATATTTATCTAGAATTCTGAGAGGTAGATCAGTAGGAAGTTATTTAAAATTTTAAATGTTGATATGGTTGCTACGGATAGAAAACCTCCAAGGGCCATCACAAAAGCAAAAAAAAGTGACAGCCACTCTTGTTATCACTGTGTTATAATATATACATCGAACATACACATTTTCGTAATATCCATTTGTCGCTTATCGCACTTAATTGCCCATGTAGTATATGACAAATATACAGTGTTCGGATTGCTTTAACCTAATTGAAAATGTCTTCAATAATATTCAAATCTCCTTAATTAATAAAAAATTATATAGAAAAATCTACGCTTGTGAAAGTTGCTCTCGATAGGTTCATATGCGTTAATTCGCCAAAAAAAAGCTTGAAACAAACTACGGCAATGTTATATGAACGGGATATCTTCAGTGAAATTTCATATCAATAGGCTACTATTAGTAAAACAAATAAGCTTGAGCTTGCGGCAGTAAATAGTATCGCATCGACCCATAATGTTCTGGTCGTATATTTCCGTAGTTCATAGTTTCACTTTGCGATTCTTCTGCCTGAGCTACGCATAGCATATATATAAAACTCCATATTATAGACATATAGGTGACTTTGTTTATAATTTGAGTATAATAATTAAGTTACTAATCAATAAATTTGCGGACGTTTAGTGAGC